GTCGGAGGCTGCGAAGAGGTGCGTCGGAGGCTGCGAAGAGGTGCGTCAAAGGCTGCGAAGAGGTGTGTCAAGAGGCTGCGAAGAGGTGCGTCAAGAGGCTGCGAAGAGGTGCATTGGAGGCTGAGAAGAGTTCCGTCCGGCTTTTTCAATGGGGAAAAAATGGCGTCTTTGTTTATAAATGACGTCGCCATGGTAACTGGAAACGCCAACAAAAGTAACGGCACACATCACGGTGCTGAACCGGTCATTTGGTTAGAACATTTGTGGGGGACACGTTGAGATTTGGGCTTCAGTAAAGTTGATAGAAGAGCAGAACCATCTTCAGGTGGATAAGAGGTGCTGCCTTCACCCCCAACGATCAATGCTCTGATCAACGATCAATCCTGATCGTTTATCTGACTCTAGAAGACCCGGCTCGTCAGGTCACAACTCAGCCCTTCGTCTTCCTCTCAGGGACACCTGAGGACAGTCACTGCTGCACCTCGGACCTGTTGACGTCTCTGCAGGACAGATGTGTCACGTGGCAGGTGTCAGTCCACCTGCACTTGTCGTTGGGTTCAGAGAAGTCAACGGTGCGTGATGTTTAGGAAGCAGAGAGGTATGGAGGCCAATCTGAGACCCCTCAGCATCTGGACCTTCAGGGCTGGGCTTCCAGGCGGTGAAGGGCTCGGATCAGACGGCATGTTTGTTGAACACCTTCCACAGCACCCCCGTGTGGCGCCGGCTCAGATCCGACACATTCCTGTGATTCCAGCCAAACGGGCCTAATGGACTCCACATGTTCAGTCCACATACGGGGGAGTGGTGGCGCAGAGGTTAGAGAGGTGGGCCTGTGATCCGAAGATCGCCGGTTCACGCCCCGGCCCCGACAACATCAACATTGTGGGTGGGGTAGGTGAAACACCCACACTTGTCCCCACCCTCATTCGCCCCACTCTGGGCCCATGAGCAAGGCCCTTAACCCCCACCATGTGCTCCCTAAACAGGTCTCTCTTGAAAATGAGTTCTCGCGGCTCAATGAGACTAACCTGGATAAATAAAGGCTAAATGAAAAAAAAAAAAAAAAAAACATACATGATGGAGGAGGGGCTGGTCTGTCCGGACCCTCCTGAGGTCTGGATGTCGGCGTCTCAGTCCCACAGTGTGGGCTTTGTGTTTGTCAAGTTGTGGTTTACGAACAAATATTTAAATGTTGGTTTGTGGTCCATTCAGTCCTGAAGACGGTGAAACCTTGGATCTGGAGACTCGTCATCAGTTCTGTCTCCCTGTTTCTTAGAACCCGATGAGCCCGGTTCTGTTCTCTGCCTGTATAAGACGCAAAACGACTGCGTCATGAAGTTCACCTACTCTGAACACGCCAGTGGACGGTCCGTCCTCACAGCCCTGAAAGAACCAGGTCAGTGGAAACATTAAAATCATTCTCCATCTGATGTTCTCGCTGAAACCTGTTCAGACCTGAAGAACGTTCTCCAGACCATAAAGACCTTCTGTCTCTCCTGGCAGAGTGTGGCAGGGGTCCGGGTGTCCTCACGGTTCTGCTGGCTGTGGTCTGCATCATCCTGCTGTTTGGACTGGTTCTGCTCGTTGCTTGGAAGCTGATCATCACCGTGCACGACCGGCGAGAGTTTGCTCGCTTCCAGAACGCACGCTCACGCGCCCGATACAAAACGGTAAGGAGCAAATTGTTCTCTGCTTCTTTTTGTCCACCGAGACGAGGTTTAAGAAGGACGGGAGACGTGAGCCGTCCACGTCCTCACGTGACGAAACCAAAGTAGTCTGTGAGTAGAACTGGTGGAACCTGGTCACCTTCTGAAGGAACCTGCTGGGGTCTCGTTCTTTCACTCATGGTCCAGATCTGAGAAGATCAAAATGCACTGGATGGAAACCAGTCTGAGAGCGACTGAAGGTCTGACAGGAAACCAGATGTCTCTCGATCACTCACCACAGGCCAAGGTTCAGTGAGTCCGTCAGACCATCGTTCACCACCAGACGATCAGTTGGCGGCTCTGTCCCTGACCAGAGGGTCAGAGACAAAAGACCACAAGTCCAGTGATACAAGTACAGAAGTCGCTGGCCTTCAGCCCAAAGTGGCCCAGTATACCCACAGTATGGACCATCCTGGGCTGTTCTGGTTTTTATACCTACAGTAGACCGATCTCCCAATCTCCCATGGTCCTTAATTTAGTTCGTGGAAGGTGGAGGAGTTCTGTGATCGTAGGGACCGGGTGGATGAATATGGAGCAAGAAGGTCCTTCAGATAATCTGGTGAATCTTCACAATCAGGGCCCTCCAGGTCTCTTAGTGTCCACATGGACACTGAAGTTCTCCAGGAGAACAACGGGGTCTCCAGACAGCAAGACGTCCTCCTGAGACTCCAAAAAAGCCAGATACCTTTACCTCCTCCAGTCCCCCTCTCATGAGGGTGCCCTGGTCTTCCCTCATCTGACCCCTCTCCTGAGGCTGATCTGCTGTGGGGGACCCTACAGGGGATTGGAACCCCCCCCCAACATAAACCTTTTGTCTCTGTCAGCACTTTGCTCTAATTCAAGGTCTTCTTTCTGCCCTGTTGTCCTCCAGGCCTCCAACCCTCTGTACAAGCAGCCTGTCTCGACCCACTTCTTGGAGACGGACATGTTTGGGAAGTCCTTCAACGGCGAGGTCCACTGATTCCACGTCAGCAGGTCCAGACCCCCGAAGGACCGAGCGCAGTGGACCGCAGACTCAACACTCCCCTCCCTCTGCGCTTCGAGAACGAAACTGAAACTGGTCCAGAGGGTTCGTCCTCCACGAAGGACCGAACGCCGCATGTAGCTAAAATCACAAGACACTTTACAGAGCAGCTAAACTTCAGCTGCTGTTTTTATAAACACTGAAGGCGTCACCGGATCATTTCGACGGCGCTGAAGAATCGTTTGACGCTAACATTTTTACTAAACTTTACACTCGTGGTGTTTTTGTTAAGAAGAGATGAGGTCACTTCCTGTGAAGAGTTGCTTCACTGATGAAGATGATGGTGGTGTCTGAAGGGCGGGGCACCCCTCAGGTTAATAACTAGACCCAGGTGGATCTCACTCAAAACTGGTTTTCGTTTCAACAAAAACTTGTTGGACTTTTTCAAGACTCAAACTTGGAAGTCCCTGAAGGCCTAACGCCTGGCGGCCGGGGCGCTTCCTGCAGGCGCGGCCACTAAAATGAACACAGGTGGTTTGTTTTGGGGGGGGTTGAGCAATAATTCAGCACCAGGTGATAGACTGGTCCCAGTTATCTGAACGAGTCTGACAGACCAGCTGTTCAGTTCCTCTTTAACTTTCTGATGGCTTCATTTGCAGCCGAGGCTTCAGGAGAACTTTTAGCTCGATGATTAATTAAAACAGGCGTTTATAGTGAAGAGTTCGGATCGAAAACAGTTTGACGATTAATTAAAAACAGGCGTTTATAGTGAAGAGTTCGGATTGAAAAC